AGTGTGAGTATGCCCTGAGCCAGGCCAGCCAGTATCAGCAGTGTGTAGGGGGGTGTTCAGACTAGCACCACCTGAGGGCATACACACAATGCGACCCCAAATCCGCAAAATCCGCAAAATATGCTGATTTCGGATGGGCCGATTTGAGGTTTTCGGCACGGTTCCAGTTGTACTGCTGTCCCTTTTCAGATGCGACAAGGCCCTGACCGTCTGCAGCAATGGCGATTTTGGTACTTTGCTGGTCACAGCCGTCCACAAATTGTGCAAGAAATATCGTGAACGAATTTTCACCTATTCTCAAAGGTACCCCATCCTTCTTGGTCTTTTGTGTTATTTCCCCCGGAGTGGAGGAGGGCTGCGCCACACTCTGCTGCACTGCAATACAGAGAAGGGTCGAGCAGGCAAGCCTACCCGTATGAACCCTCCCTAGCCCAGAAAAATTAATTTAATGTCGTGTGGTCGGATGGACTACGGATCAGATATGAGACTGATTAGAACAGATACTACACTTGATCTTAGCCAAACCGAGAAAGGTATGCCTTTTTATGTGCATCGACCAGTTTATATACAGCCGGGGAGGTTCGTGAGTGTTTTTGGGGATTGGGGTTGCCAGACGCACATTTTGGTTATGGGTCAACGGCAGTATAGCAGAATGGCCTTCACCGTTTCCAGCCTCATGTGTGGTTGTCGTTTTTTTTTTGTTTTCGTTTTTTTTTGTTCCCTCCCAAAGGGGCAACGGCCTTGAGATATTATCATCGAACGACAGGCCTTAGGTAATCCAGAACTACTTTTTCTGCTACTATTTCGCTCATCTGCTGAGAGTAGAGTTCGAGACCAGGGGCCTCGCTGCACTTCTCTGCACAAAAGACAAAAATCATGGTGATGTATCTTTCCATGTTCTAGCAGAAGATTCGGTCTCGTTTTGCACATTTTGAGAGTAGTGCAGCGAGGCCCCAGGTCTATTTGTTTTTTTTTTTTTTTTTTGCGTGTCATCCTTGCGCAGGGGCCATGCTAATCTTCTCTGTATAAAAAAAAAAAAAAAAAAAAAATCTTCTCTGTATCGTTCCAATTTGTCCCGAAGGTGTACCAACACTCACCATGTGCACAAAAGACAAGGTGTATCTTTCCATGTTCTTCGAGAGATCTCGATAATACGTGCAACAGTCGTGAGAAGGATCTTTTGATCATCTGCGCAGCATGCATAAAGTAGGACAGCTGGGCAGGTGGGCACGACACAACGTTTTTTCTTTTTTTATTTCATTTGTAGAAATCCGCATTATAAGGGTACCCGCATTATAAGGGGTAAGGGCAGAGCAACTAGTTTCTCCAATTTTTATCTTTTTTTTTTTTTTTCGACTTATGAATTTTCTCGATTTATGCGTTTCATCCTTGCGCAGGCCATGCTAATCTTCTGTATCGTTCCAATTTTAACGGATGTCCTGAAGGACCGACTATGAATTTTCAATCTCCCTTTACTTTTTCTTTTCTTTTCTTTTTTTTTTTTTTTTTTYTTTTTTTTTTCCCAATCTCCCTTTGGATCTTCCTTTCGAGTAGGACAGGCCACGAGGGCCGACCCATAAAGGGCCTCGACACACCACTCAATGTGAAAAACACAAAAATGTGTCCGTGTTCTAGCGGGACGTTCATTCCAATTTCGGACATTTCGAGGCTGGTGTGGCGATGCGGAAGTCGATTGTTTCAGGTACGGACCCCATGAATTCGGCCGACTCATGCGCACGTTGCTTTGGCAAGAATCGGACAGTATTTTGCGAGAGAGCACGACAGTTTGAATCCGACCTTATTTCAGCTCAGATGAGTTCGGCAAATTCGAGGTCAGGTAGCAGACATTAGGCCGCCACTTGACGAGCAGCCCCGCCCCCTGAGAACACGCGTCGTGAAAGCTGCTGGGTACGACCTCGCCGTACCGTTTGTTTGAGAAACCCTGACATTTTGAATGCATAGGGAGAGAGAAACCTGTCCACATGCATTCGAAATGTTGGCGTTTGCAGAGCAGTGCGCCGAGCCCCTAGTTCCCGCCTCTGAGCACACGCGTCGGGGTCAAAGTTGCTATGCATCTCTCTCATAAAAATAAGAACGGAGCGGAACACTTTCACGAGAAAGAAGCCGCCGTAACAACGAACGATCGGTTGTCGAAGGCAATCCCATCGTCGATCCTCTTTATCCCTGAGCTTCCCTACACAGCCGAGTGCCATAGTTCTCGTTGCTTCTTCAACTTTCGCCATCGCCGTTGCCGCTGCCGCTGCTGGTGCTGCTATCGCTGTTGCTACCCGCTGTCGCTGTCGCTGGCGCTGTTGCTGCCGCTGTTGCTGCTCTTCGTCTCTCTTTCTTAGGTATCAGCTATGGCGGCTGCTGTGTCTGTTTGTACCGCCACTTTGGCGATTCTCCTTCTCCTCGCTCCTTTCTCTGGAGCCGCCGAAGTAGACACGAGTGCAGGTGACGCTCTAATCGGTGCCATCACCAATCACTGCTGTCTTAAGAAGTTCTACTACGCCTTACAGATCTCTCGCGTCGAATCTCGTCTGCGTGACAGCGTGAATCAAGGTCCCATCACGGTTTTCGCTCCGACCGATGATAGCTTCATGAAGCTGGATCCCGAGCTGTGGAGGTGCGTTACCACAGGCCAAGGTCCGCTTGACATTCTGAGCCAGATTATGCTGTACCACTTCGTGACTGACGGGAACTTCACTGCTGCGGAGTTGGCGACGAAGACGCAGCTGACCTCTGCCTCCGGCATGCCCATTGGCGTCAAGGTCGTCAACGGGAAGGTCGTTCTCGAAGATTACGCGCCAATCACGGGCCCGGACGCTTTGAGGACGTCTAATGCGACTGTGCACCTCATCGGTGAACTTCTTGTGCCAGCGACAATCGTCAGCACCATCGAGAACGTGTGCCGTGGTGGACCTCCATCAGCATCTCTTCCGACACCTGGCATGTAAGCTATTTATAACGATAGGTGAGTAATCACTGCAGTCGGGGGCAACACTGTTTTGCTATCTCTGAGGATGGTGACCGGTGGAAGAATAGGATTAGATAACTTTGGTGGCTTTGGTTGGAAGATAGCAGTGAAGTTAGTGAGATTTTATGTAGTTTACCACAGGAGTAAGGGTCCTCGGTGCCATCGAGAGCCTGCGCTTCGCATGTAATCTCGTTATATCGATGGGGTGCGTAGGCACGACTGCCGGACGCTACACTGTTTTACTATCACGGGCGTGGCTGACTGACTGTAGTAGTATAGGATTTAACAGGAAGGAGCAGCTCGCTTGGGTTGGACGATGTACGAGTAAGGTGAGCTAGGGATATCTTATGCAATTTACCACAAGAGTACGGATTATTGGCACGCGACGCGACACTGTTTTGCTATCACGAGTTGGGTGACGGACGGTAGATAAGGATTGACACTATTGTAAGGAAAGAGAAGGAGCAGTTCGCCTGTGTTGGGGCAGACGAGTTGAGTTAGTGAGATAATGAGATTTTTGCTATAGGAACGAGTATTTTTTCGACCATTGGATTCAATTGGTGCGACGTTTTGCATAACAACGGTATTTCTATAGATCGAACACTGACGGTGGAGGTCCTCTCCTGCCCTGTCAGCTTTTATAGCGACTGGCGAGCAATGGCTTATGTCGGCACTGACTCGCTTTCATGGAGTAGGATTCAATAATTTACCGGAAAAAAAGAACGAGCAGCTCGCATGAGGAAGAGAATGCATGCTTTTTTTTTTTTTCCCCGGTGAGTAATCGCTGCTGTCAAGCGCGACACTGATTCGTCCATCATGGAGGTGGGTGATGGGCGATAGAGTAGGATTCGATAGTTTACAGGAAGAGGAGCAGTTCTCTCGAGTAAGAGAAGTAGTTTTTTTTTTGTTTTGTTTTTTTTTGGCACTTGAAGTTAGAGGTTCCATGTTTTTTTTAATTTCTTTCTTTCTTGCAAGAATCTCTTTCTGTTGCAGATTAGTGTCGGGTTCTTCCGTCTCCCTTTTCATGCGACATTCGGTGAGCACGTTATGGCTATCACTGTGCCAAGAAATGGGTTTCCCGGCCTGGCGACACCTTCTCAAGTTATCCACACTTGCAGGGAGGAAAGGGAAGGATGAAGCGACAATAGACACAGGGTACATTAACCTTGTTAACTGGAGCTGCTCCATCATCAGAATCATCAAACAGGGGTGGGATAGGAAGGCGAGAGGGAAAAATTACCACAATGGGGTCGCGGTGTATGTTGGGCACCATACGACTATGGGGTGGGACATGCCTGCGTTGACTTGCGCTATCTGACGCGTCTTGTGGCCTCTTATATTAACAGACTATAATGATAGATTGCCACGTGACAGGTGCGATACAGAGGTGACATGAGAATGTGCCTGTCGCGTGGAATGCACGAATTCGATTGGTTCCTTGTTTTGATTCTCCCTCCCGGGCTGATTGCTGTTGTAAGTAGTTGTCATTGTTGATGAGGGTTTCAAGGCGAGGAGCTGATGGGGTGACTGTGGTTGGGGAAACTTAGGTTTGGGGTTCTCAGTCTGACTTTGATTACTCCTTCCCCTCATGGTGCCGTTAATTGAATTTTACTACCATGCTCTGATTAGTACCCCTTCCCCTCATGGTACTGATCGTCCTTTGTTGAAGAAGTTGAGGTTTGCAGATTAGGGTTGATTTTTCTTACTACGATGAGCAGTTAATCCCGTCGGTCGAGGGTGATCAATGCTGCTCAATAACTTGAATGGAGCGTGCCATCGTGCCGGATCATTGGCTGTCAAGGATTACAGTAGGATCGACACGTGGCATGTTAGCTAAATAAACTGACCAGGAGCGTGCCATCGTGCTGGCTCATTAGTTGTCAAAGATTAGAGTAGGATGGACACGTGGCATGTAATATGACTTTTGATTGTTTTCAGGGACGCTGGACCCGTTTTCCAGCAGGTGGTGCTCCCCACCAATAGATGGAGCCTCCCCCAGTTTGCTAGTGGTGTCTGCTCTTATCAGCATCACTAGCAATTACTTGGGGTGTTTCTTCAAAAAAAAAAAAAAAGAATCATCAATGCCTCGTTCTTTTCAGCAAGTAAAGGGGGAGTTTGCACAGGTCGAGGAGAGCCTGGCAACAGAGAGAAAGAAAGTCACTGAAGCACAGGGGCCGTTACAAAGTGTAGTTTGGCGCTGCGAAAAGTCTGCTGGAGTGGCAATGAAGAGGTTTTAAGTTCGACTTTTGGCTTAGCATGGTGCCAAATTGGATTTTGTAATGGTCTTGTTTGGCCTGTGCTTCAGTAACTTTCTTTCTTTCTGTTGCCCAGCTCTCCTTGAAATTTTCAAGCTCACGCTGGACTCGCAGGGAGCTTGTATGCAACAGCAGCGACAAACACAGGGTGAATCTTCAGCGGAGCAGGTTCGAGGACACAAAATAAGATGTGCATGTGACGCTTCTCGCAGGGACTGCAATTGAAACACTAACATCTCGTTTTGTCTTGAAACGAACCAGCTGAGTCTCTGCTGAAAACGTCTGGCGGTTCACCACGGGTTTGTTGCGGATGTTGTGTGCAACGCTAACGTACTTAACAGTGTTCAGGGTCTAGGGCAGATTGACATTAGTCGGATTGACGCGAGCTATCATGACTGCCCTGCTGTTTCCGCAGAGAGTAATCGGCAGGAGCCTCGTCAGGTTGCTGATATGGTAGGGCACATGCGCTCCCCGCTCCATGTCATCACGAAGCACCCAAATAACTTCACGAAGCGCAAGGAGCACCTCTTTTACGTCAGTCCCTTCTTGGATTATCTGACCAGGTGCAAGGAATGCGATCTCTCCATTCTTTCAGAGCCGTCAATATCGACGAGACGGAGCTTGGCCGTTAGCCAATCGCAGCCAAGGAAAGATCGAAGCGTGGCCGTTAGCCAATCCCCGCCAAGGTCTACTACCTGCGCTCCATCCCCGGGGGCTGCCCGCTCTTCCTCGGCATCTTCCTGCTGCTCCGAGGTCCCGTCATCCCGTCTAACATCCTCATTGGCGCTGCAGGCACTTTACGCTATCGCTGCATCGTGATTATGAATATTGCATGCAAGGGACTCCGATTGGAGTGCACGACAGTTCTCGCGGTCGACCGTGACATGGAACCTTGCTCCAGATTCAAGGCCATGTCATCGAGGGGTTGAACCTCCGCGTCAGTCACATTCGCAAGAGTTAATCTGCCGCCGCGGTCTCTGGGATGGTTATGGACGGATTCTGTGGAGGGGAAACGACATCCCTACGATTACCATAATTCCCGTTTCTCCGTTGACCAGGGCAGGTGGGCTGCTATCGAGCACATAGCGGATTTGTTTTTTGTGAATCTGTATACAGGACACTTTCATCGTACACTCTGATTTGTCTTGGTGCGCTTCCACCTCTTGAAAAGTGGTCTGCAATGACTCTGCATAACCTTAGTAATCGCATCTGCGGCGTGTCCCTGAGTTTCTCTCCTACGGTGGTCTTGCTTGGATGCAAGTACATGCTGGGAGAGGGTGCTACCGTTTTCGCCCAAATACAACGGACGGTCTGTATAGCTGTATTTGGGTCAAATTTCGGTCTAGATGCTGCGAATGACCGTACGTTCTACTCGGGGGAAGATGGTAGCTCATGTTCCTCGTCTTTTTTTTCTTTTTTTTCTTTTTTTTTTTCAGTGTGAAACACCGTTTGCCAGGGCTCCCGTAGAAGTGCGGTTGTTCCCACCTCTCGTACCGTCACAGTCGTGGACCATTACTCTTTTTTCTATTATACCTGCCTGTGCGTGCGCGGCTGGATGGGTGTAAAATGTTTTTTTTTTTTTTTTTTTTTTTTGTGGGTCCGATGGACCACGGATCAGATATTAAACTGATCAGAACAGATACTACACTTGATCTTAGCCAAAAGGCCGAGAAAGGTAGTGTAAAATGTTTGAAACTGACTTTTCAGAGTTACTTTTATATTTTTTATAAATAATAACGTGCGCAGGTTGTTGGAGAGGTTGGATTCAGAGTTCTCAAGGGTCCTTCAGAACATCCCTCGTAGAGTCACGTAGACCATGCTTATTGTTAATCGTTTTTTTTTTTGTTTTTTTTTTTTTTAATGGCCTGATGGACCAGGGATCAGATATTAAACTGATCAGAAAAGATACTACACTTGATCTTAGCCAAATGTTGAAGTACACGCTATTTGCCTGTTGATGATTGTTTGCTATGCTACTGGAAGCACTACTGATTGACGTAGGCGGTAGTAGTATGGACAGAGATAGAAATGATTTATTCGTTTGTGGGCCATGGGAATAGGGCCAGATCCCACTAGCCCCTATTGCTCATTTATGACCGTTGATCTTCGTAATCGAGGGTGAAAAATGAATAATCCAGGGTGGTGGGATCTGACCCTAACGTCGGACATCGGAAAAGTTTTCTTCGGGACAAGTCATGAAACCTCCCCGCGACGAAACCTTTGAATCCTTTCCCCCCAAATGGAGAAAAAGGTGCCGCAGACCCCAAAATCACTTTCGGTGTCATTTTTGCACCCTGCAAAACACTTTCCCGTCATTTATACAAAGCGGCCGTTACGCCCCCCCCCGCCCCCAGCCAGGGTGGAGAAATAACACCAAAAGTGATTTCGGGACCTGTGGCACTTCTTTCCTCGCTTGGGGGCAAATGTATACAAGGTTTCGTCCCATGGAGGTTTTATAACTTCTCCCGTTTTCTTCTGGCGAAGTTTTTGTTTTTTCGATTGAGTACGAAACCGGTTTTGATTCGGTACCACTTATATTCGGTGAAGTTTTTTTCAGACTTTTTACACTTGTCTTCTTTTCACCCATGTGGGAATTTTCTGCGAAGTGGTTTTGTCGAGTCTGGTTTTCATGTGTTCTTTTTTTTTTGTTTTGTTTTTGAAAGGTTCAGGGTATAGTAGAGGATGGAGGCCCGGCCTCAGGAGGTGCCCGTAGTACTCATCCATTGGAGGGTGAGATGGATTGTGAGACCTCGGGGGAGTCACCTCACCTCAAGGTGGAACCATGATACCATGACCTATGCTAATGCTCAGATCGCAAATGGTGATCTGCGCCAACCAGAGTGACCCAACGGTCATGCAGACACTACCCTAACTCAAATCTTAAGGGCGACCTGGGCACTGGTGGGGTTCATGCATATGCAGTCATCTCCCATCTGAGCATGTCCCATACTGATATGGTGCAGACTAGAAAGTTAACAAGAACCGACCTCTGTCACATAGTACAGGATAGCAGCATAGCGGAAGACTAAAATACCAACGATTAGATCAATCAATGTTGCAATGCAGTCCAATGCAGTCCAGTTGATGTAGCTCAGTCGTTCGAGCACCGGTTGGAAATGTGCATTGTGGTATGAGGTTGCGAGTTCAAAACTCCGCAGCCTTGCGCATGGACACCGGCAGGGCGTTAGAATGTCGCACGGCTGGACACACTCCCCTGGGCTGATGCAGGTAAAGCTTTTACAGACACTGCTTGCGCACCACCCAGGGGCAAGTCCATGGTCCCTGGCCTCTGCCACTTTCCTCCCTCTCAGCGCTACCCTAAGGTCCCTCCAGCGCCCAGTGCTGGAAGACTACTCCTATCCTCACCTACTACTGCTGCAGTGTTTCTGGAGAACGCCGCTGCCGTGCCTGAAGAGTGAATGTTGCCTCTTATGCGGACCAGCTATGTATAGCGCTGTTCTCGCTGGGAGGCTGCTCTGACCAATGCTGAACGGCAACACTCCCTGGTGCCAAAAGTCTGGCGCTTAAGTTGGCGCCCAAATTTGAATCTTCCAACTTAGGCGCCCGAATTTGAATCTTTGAATTTGAAACAGGGTCTGAAAACGCCCTGTAGCCTACTGGGTCTATATCGGGTCTGGCGCCAAAACGGGTGCCAGGGCCTACCAACGGCCTACGAACCTACGGGGCCCTATTTAGGCTGAAACGACACAGGCCTGACGGGCCGCTACCTAAGCTGAACCGATGCAGGGCCTGAAGGGCCCCTACCTAACCCCTGTCCTGCCTGGTCAGGCCCTGCGGGGGCCCGTTTGGTGCTCAGTATGCCACACTCCCCTCTCCTTGAAAGACCGAGCCTACCTGCGAGAAGCTGCCTGTCGGAGGGAGGGACTGAAGTTTGGGTGGGAGGGGCAGGTCGTGAAGCTTCCTTAGGTAGTCTTTTTCGTTCATAGTGAGTGTAGATCAGTGTTGCCGATGCTTGCAAATCTTCTCGTGAAATCCACGGAGTGTCATCAGGATCGCATGCTTTGAAGGTAACTTTGTAGTGTTGAGGCTTGTTGTCGTACTTGCGTTCTGTGATGAGGCGGTCGACTTCCTGATGACCATCCATAGATGGAGGGTCTTGCGATCGTCGGCCTGGGAAATCGTCGCTCTTAGCCGGTGTATAACTCGCCAGCTTG